GCCAGCATGGGGCTGGGGAATTCTGGGAGTTGAAGTCCACTCATCTTAAAGTGGCCAAGTTTGGACAACACTGCCTTAAAGGATTTCAGGAGAAGCTGTTGAAAAATCTGCTCCAAAAATCATTCCAGAGTATAGAACACTGAATAACAGATTTGTATTACCGGGGGTGCAGATTCCATCTGAATGTAAGGAAAATCTTCCTAACAATAAGAACAGTTCAGCAGTGGAACCAATTACCCGAAGATGTGCTGGACTGCTCTTCACTAGATGTGTTAAAGCGGACAGCTAGCTATCTGCTGAGGATGCTTTGAATTCCTGTACTAAGTAGGGATTGGATTAATTACCTAAATGGCTCCTTCCAGTTCTATGAGCCTATGAAATCAAGGTTCAGACTGCTCAGCCATGAAGCTCCTAATGTGGCTTTCTGTAACTCAGTATCTCTCAGCTGACCTCCCAGGATAGGAATCATAGCTATTAAAAGGAATACTTTAGTTCAGTGAGTCAGTCAGTGTAAAGCAAGAGAGCCAGTTTGGGGTAGTGGTTAAGGCACCAGGCTAGAAACTGGGAGATTGTGAGTTCCAGTCCTGCTTTAGGCACAGCGCCAGCTGGGTGAACTTGGGCCAGCCACTCTCTCTCAGCCCTAGGAAGAAGGCAAGGGCAAGTCACTTCTGAAATCTTGCCAAGAAAACTGCAGGGACTTGTCCAGGCAATCACCAGGAGTCAAGACTGACTCAAAGGCATCCCCCCAAAGCAGGAGATGGATTAAATGCTAACAGAAAGATAGGGAGTACGGAAGAAACCTTTGCTATGGGGCTTTTAGTGTGGAACTGGGGCTTTATGCTGTCTACATTTCTGTATTTATATCCAGATCTGCATAAATAGATGCATAGGCATCCTGCTGCTGAACTCAAGAGAAGGCAATGCCGGAAGCTTTAAGTTAAAGGAAAGCTGCTCAGAAGCCCTTAATAGGACTTCACTGTCCACATCAGATGTATTGGTGACATAATTTTGTTTTAGCAAATAAATTTAAGAAGGCCACAACAGGAAAAGAAAATGCATGGGAGGGCCATGTAGAAAATACTCAAGTGCAATGATTTATCAGTTCTTTTGTCTGGCTTTTCTTTAAAAATATGACTGAACTAAGGATATAAATTCCAGACAAAATCACTAGAGTTCTTTCATTTGTTTATCTTTAGAGCCTTATTAAAATTTATCTTCCTGAGTAATTTTCCAGTATTTCCAAGGCTTTCGCATTGCTTATTTCTATCATCGTAAAATTGGCCCCCATTTGCAGCTCCATCCACCCCTAAATTAGAAGGCTGTGTATTGTATCTTCTGGAATGTGACAAATATTAGTCAGGCAGTTGGCTGGGAAGTATAGGCCGTGGCTCTAAATACTTAGCTATGGCCAGGTACATCTTTGGGTGGGATCAAAAAAGTCAAGATGGCATCTCTGACCATGTGATCAAAGCTACATCCCTTTTCGTGTATGTCCCACATACAATACTCATTAAATAGGTGGGGTTTCAATCACACAGTTGTGCTGCTCCCCCACAGACTTTTTTTTTTACCTGCCCCCCTCCCCACACCCTGGTTGTGGTATTCTGGCATCTCCAGAAGTTACCTTTTGTGCCTATGTGGTTGGACAAATTCTGACATTAACACAGTGAAACCTTTACAGATTCCTGTGTGTGGACTCACCCCATAGGAATCCAAAATGAGCTGCAAAACATTACTTGAGTCCCTTGACAAAGTCCCTACAGTAGTGCCTGGAAGCAGCTCACTGTAGTTCTGAAAAGAAAATAGCAGAGATTTCCCTTAAATGGACAAATACAAGCTAAGAAAATTGGGATAAGATTTTTCTATATAATACTGATTTTTTTTATTTTTGAAAAGTTTTAAAAGGGAGCCAGCACCACTCCTCCTCCTCTCCCTCCCCCTCCCCCTCCCTCCTCCTATCTCTTGTATCATTCTTAGATTTTTTTATATAAAGAACAGCAGAAAAGAAAACAGCAGCCCAGCATCTAGATAACCTTTTTCTTGTTTCACCTTTCCATTCCCACAATATTCCCTAACCAAAATGAGGATCAATGTGTCCGCTTACCTGGTAGAGACCCACTACGTCCTCAGTCACTGCAAAAATCAAGTTAATGTTTTTCTGTGAGAGTTTATTTGTCATCAGGCCAAGGGATGGGTAATCCTTGGGAAGAAAAAGCGAAAGAGGCAAATGAAGAATCTGCTTGCATATCACTGCACAGGGAAAGGTCACAGCTGGGAATTAGCTATATGTGGAACCTAGAAATATGCCACTTATTAGTTATTTTACATTTTACATATGTCTCCATGGGACATATCTGATTAAAACATGTGTATCTCACCTTTCTGCCAAAACCTTCAAGACATTTACACTAAACTTACCATCATGCTAAAGCTGAAGATATTCCCATTAATCTTATCTATGAAAAAGCCAGATCTCAAGACCTCTTCCCAATCTACAGTCAGCCTTTATTATGGCCAAGACTGAGAATCTGGGCTGGTGCTATGTGGATGAAGGGGCCGCAGAGCAAAGTCATTGGGAAGAATTACTGGAGGCGGAAAGTAAATAAGACTACATCCTAGCATCGTTTTTAGGTACACCCCCTTTACTTTCTCCTAAATTAATGAATAAATGCAATTTACTCCAGACAGGGGAAATTACTGCTCTTGAGAACACTGTTCAAATTAGGGCAGAGCTTGCTTTCTCCATGGGACAATGAATGGTCTGGTCTCAATTACAGGATTATCTCTGAGAGTGCAGCGTGTCTCTGTGCACAGCATATCCTCCAGAAAGAAACTTCAGACTGGATAATTGTTCAGAATTTGCTGAGAGCCTAAGCCAGCAGTGGGCCACCCTCTCACTCTGAACAGAGAATCTAAGAAGGTCAAAGGCAGTATACAGTAGACTGAAAAAAAACGATAGTCATATAAACGTATTAGAAATATATATGTACTTGAATAATATTTGCATTAGATAAGTATATGTAGAATTGTAACTGTTTAGTTATAATGACAATGACATATCATATTCCGTTTTTTTCTTAGTTGTACTTTTTTCACTTTTTTGTAAAGCACTTTTTATGTTTTTTTCCCTTTGATGATATATGTATCTCCATTATTATTATGACTGTGTTTTGCTTTTTTTTCTTTTTCTTTTTTCTTTTGTTATTAATTAACAAGCAATAAAAATAAATTTTAAAAAAGAGGGTCAAAGGCAATGGGAGGACTCTGGGATTTACATGTCCCTTTCTTCCATGTTACAAAGCCCCACTGACTCCCTAAGCCCTCTACATTCTCCTGCTATCCTTCTTTTCGTCTTCAGTAATGCTGTTGCCATTCGGAAAGCCCAAGACCCAATAAGACAAAATTTGACTCCTTAGGACCAATTCTTCTTTATCATCACCAGGACAAAAAAAGCTGCAGAGACAAGTACTTTAGGGTGGCTAATGAAAGAGGAACAGCAATATAACCATGGTGAAGACAGAATAAGCCTTTTTATTCTTTCAATTCCATTATACAAACCTGTATTGAGTAAGAACATAATTCAGTTGAAAGTTAAGCAAAAATGACAAAAGCCATATTATTTAACAGGAGCAAGCACATGGACAAACATGGTGTCACGTTGCTGTTCATAGTGCTAGTGATTAGTATACAGAAAGCCATACTGATTGAAAATTCCAGCATTTGTAATCTAACTTATCTGGAGGACACCAGTTTGGGGAAGGCTAAGCTAATTTATAACCATTCAGGATCGCATAGAGGAAGTAAACCTAAAGCTCATGGGATTCTAGCCAAATGTACCATCAGCTATAGTGGAATGATTTTTGTAGCGATATTAATCCCAATCCTGTGGCTATGAAATGTTACCCTTACCAGTGTGGTGGAAGCTTCATAGATGTTATTGCTGTTCATGTGGCATTCCCCATCATTAGGTGTTACAATTCCAGCTAGTCTCCCATCTAAAGCAATATGTGTCTTGGCATCTGTAGTGAAGACCAACAAGTGGGAGGCATCAGGTCTCCAGCCAATTTTGTCCTGTAAGAAAACAGTCTCCATAATATGCTCCAAAGAAAGAAAGAAAGAAAGAAAGAAAGAAAGAAAGAAAGAAAGAAAGAAAGAAAGAAAGAAAGAAAGAAAGAAAGAAAGA